AAGGGAGCACTGGATGGACATTTGCTTGCCTTAGCCTCCCTGTGCAAGCTCCGGGAGGGACCGCACGCCTTGTCTTCCCCTCCCTCCTCCATCCCCTCCATCTCCCTCCCTGGACAGCCTGCGAATCCTGGAGGGACATCGCTCCCTGCCGCCTCCTCCCTTCCTCTCTCGTTCCCTCCTCCTCACTCTCCATTGCCTGCACCCCCCCCGCCTCCTTCTTCGGCGGACCCTCCGCTCTCATCACTGCCTTCGAAGTCCGCTTCTTCCCTCCCTTCCATCTATTCCTCCACCTCCCTCCCTGCCATTCAACCCCTTCCCCCTCCTTCCACACCGGATATTACTGCCCAAGTCCGCTCCTTCCTTCTGGAAAAATGGAAGGTGGGGTGGGGGCAGGACGTGAAAGGAAAAGAATTTGCTAAGGCGGTGGAACTTTTGTCGCAGGTGAGACGGGAGGTTAAGGAGAAGACGGACGGGGAGACGGAGAGAGGAGACCGATGTTGATTGATTCAGGAAGCAAAGCTTTGGGCGGAGGAAGGCTGGACGAGGTCGCAGAAAAATGCATTGCCTTGTTTCACTTTGTGGGGATGTCTTCGCTTCTCCCCTCCCATGCGCCTGGGCTGTGGTCCTTTTTTCTCTTTTGCAACCCCTGCCTGGTTAACCCCATCCCTCCGCGATCTCGATCTCTGTCAGGACAACGCCTCAGCCAGAAGCTTTTTGGAGGATGTAGCTCCTTCTACTCCGCACATTGAGACATTGGCTTTGTCTTTCATTGTTGTCATGCGCTGCGGAGCTTTTGATGCGTGACGCATCTCTTCGATAATGAAAAAAGTAAAGAAAATGGATTGTAAAACTTGACTCAGTGTAGTCATGCCGGACCAAATTAAAAGACAGGAATGCGTGGCTAGGCATTGATATGAAATTAAATAACAATTGAACTGAAGTATCACATGTATTCTCATAGCAATTAGGCTGTGGTTCTTTGATTTATGGATTTTAAGGCTTCGCAAATGCGTCCACAGCGGACTTTGGGCCTCAACTATCGAATTTTCTTTGCTGTCAGAAGTACGAATGCATCGCTTTACAACCGCGAATCTTCCAAATATAAAGCTTTCTGCTATCGTATTAGAGCCTTCCCCGCTTTTGTTTGCGGGAGGTTCTTTTTCATTTCTGGATTCAAAATCTGGCCACCCAAAAAAATGTTAGACGCGACATGGGCTTTTAAAATGGGGAAAAAAGCGGTTGACATTTAAACATGGCATTAAAACGGCCAAAATACCAGGCATTTTCACGCTTAACGCGCCCAGAAATGGGGCTCTCGGCGCCTTCGGAGTGTATTTTGACGGCGTGACGAAGCCCTCCTATAAAATAAGGCTTTTTAAAACCCACATTAAAAAAACACCGAAAACCCACTAACGTAGAGATGAGCAAAGAGGCAAAAATAAAAAATGCAAAGAAATGCAAGCGTATCTCGACCAAACTCGTGGCCGACGCCGGGAATGCCGACGCCCATGAAAATGAAATTATGAGACAAAGTGGCCTGATACCAGCACCAACCCCCCGAAAAAGGAGGGAATCCTGTGAGTCCACACGACGGACAGATCCGCCGGCCAATGCCTTTAGGTCGCACGTGTCATGCCTGCTGAAACCGTGGACGCAGGAGAGAGCCGCCAATGGCTCCGTAGGCGGTGTCATGCGCGGTGTACATATACGGATTTATCTTCTGAGGCCATGGGTGTTGCCTTCCTCAACGACAAGACCCCCCTCTCTTCTTTTCTCGCTTTTGCCTCGCCCCTTTTCTTTTCCTGGTCCTCCTTGCACCATGCGCTGCGCACACATGCACGTGTTGTTCCTTCGTCGACGTGTGTGGTGGTTCATAGGGTGGCAGGAGGAAGGGAGGCCGGTGTCACGTGGGGGAGGTGGTTGCGTGGTTAGCGAGGTAGCGAAGGGGAGGGGAGGCTAAGGAGAGCACGGACCTCCCCACCCCCTGGTGTGTTTTCTGCAAGCAGGCTTTTCCCATGCGTGGTGCCGCGCTGGATCGTCTTACCATGCCTTCATGTCTTCACAAACATGTCCAGATTGAGACCAAGGCCGCGTGTGCGCATTTTTGCTGCCAATTTACCACGGTGGCATCTGGCTTGAAAGGCGGTTTCTCTTCCTTTCTCCCGCCTGCCTCCTCACCCTTGTGACGGCCAGGCTATTTTTTGCACATCACTGCGTCCTTTGAACAATGGATCATCTCCATCAAGGCAAAGTCACATCCGACTATCGCGGTGAGTATCTGCAAGGGTGTATCTTTTCCTCTCGCCTTCCATACTTTTCTCCTTCCTTCCTTTCCCTTTTTTCAAATTTGTTTTGGGGGGTGCCGAGTCCATTGTTTGTTGCCCTTATCCGCGTCCGCTGATCAGGCCGACGCCACCACTCTTTGTACACTTCATGACACTTGTATCTACCTGATTTTGTGACTCGGTGGATTATCCGACGTGGATCATGTTCCTGTCGTCTCTCGCTGCGCCCATATTCGTACATGGAGGCTGTGGAACGTCCACCAACGTTGTTTCACCCCGCTTTTCCTTCGCACCCGTATACCTGTAGGCATTCGTTGGCATAAGTGCAACCGGAAATGGGAAGTGCAAATTAAATACCGGGGAAAGAAACTCTCCTTGGGGTATTTCGACGACGAGTTGGTCGCCGCGCAATGCTACGACCGCCGCGCCAAGGAGCTTTACGAAACGCCCCTTTTAAATTTCCTGCCAGGAGGAAAACTCAATCCCGAGAGGAAACGACGCGTGGATCCTCGAAGCTTGAGGTAGGGAAAGAGTGAGGGAGGGAGGGAGGGAGGGAGGGTTTGATTGCAGATCCTTCCGCACGAGGGCGCTCGGCTTTTTCTCTTTAACCTCATCTTGCTCGCCCGACCTCCCTCCTTTCCTCCCCCAGGCCACGGCGCATCCCTCCTCCTTGGTGCGCCGATAA